GGGTACTCTGTCGTTGCCTAAGTAAGCCGCTGCTCACTTTACATAGATTGGTATCAGTGTCAAGCGTTTTAGTTCAAATTAAAGTAACACCTTAATCCTAAGAATTTTCCCTTAACCTTGCTTCAAACGCAGAAGAAGCAAATAATACATGAGAAATACAATAAGTAGGAACGCTTAACTCTAAGAATTTAACAAAGTTACAATGTTGATTGAGTTAAGGTAACGCAGTATAACAGAAACTTTAGTGCTCATTAACAGATTATAACTCCTCATCAAAACGCAACAATATCAATTACTTAGTTATTGGTCTAATGTACGCCAAGTTGGCCGTTTTGACGCGAACAGATCTTAAAACAGAGTAAGAACCTGGAAATACTTGAAACTATTCTGGTGAAAGGCCAGCCACTTGGAGGCTTCACCTCGTTCTTAACTAACACCAGATCTCCCAACAAAAGTGGTCTGGTCGACGTTTGCCATTTGGTACGAGGCTGCAGTAACAAAAGGTAATCCTGAGGCCAGCGTTTCCAATAATCTTGAGCTAATTGAGTAATAAGCTTCCACCACTGAGTGCTTGGAATTCTTTCCTTAGTGCAGTCTTTTTCAGATAATATACAAGCAGGTTTTAAATTTATTAAGCAAGCCGGAGTTAGAGGCGCAAGATCAGTCAGATCATCTGTTAAAGGAGCTATAGGCCTAGAATTAAGGCAAGCCTCAATTTCACAACGTAGGGTAGAATACTCAACGAAAGTTAACACTTGATCCCCAACAGCGCGTTTCAAGTGATGTTTAGCTGATTTGACCACCGCTTCCCATATTCCACTCCAGTGAAGATCACCCGGAGGGTTAAAATGCCAACTAGTTTTCAATCAAAAGAGTTCATTAATCATTGAAAAATACTCAATTAGTTTTCGCCAGCGTCTTCTCATCTCTAAAGAGGCCCCCACAAAATTAGTACCACGATCAGTCAATAACTCACTACAATGACCTCGTCTGGCGGTAAATCTTTAGAACGCGGCGATGAACGCTTCAGCAGAGTAATCCTCTACCACCTCTAAGTGGACGACTCTGGTAGACATACAAATGAAAACTGCAATGTAGCCTTTAGTCGTGCCCTTTTCACGTGTCTTAGAGAGGTGAACAGAGAAGGGACCTGCATAATCAATGCTGGTTTTGGTAAAGGCACGGGAGGGTTGAACTCTAGCGCATGGCAAATCAGCCATAATTTGAGAAGATATAATTCCCAAAAACCTTTTACATTTGATGCAACAGGAAATCTGAGAGCGAACTGCTTGCCTACCCTTCAAAATCCGGTACTCCATTCGACATATTTTGAGAGTAAGCTGAGGACCTTCGTATAATGACAGGAGATGCGCGTGTTTAATCACTAGCTTTGTAAAATGATCATTTGAAAAAAGTACGAATGGATGCTTGGTATCGAAGTTTAAGATAGAGTAGATCAACCATCCTCCAACTCGGATAAGTCTATCTAGAATGAATGGCCTAAGCTCAATTATGCGACTATTGTGGGGCAAACTAAATGAAATTGGATCATCTAACTATTACAAATACATCTGCTCGGCCTTGAAGTGTTTAGACTGATGCATGAATATGAGGAGATGCTCAGAGTTACGAATTTCGGCCATCGATAAAAACAAGTTACTTCGACTTTTAATTGCTTGTTGATTTAAGAAAAATAAGTGAGAATTAACTACTGCTTCCTCGGCAACCCTTAAACGAGTTTTAAAAATAAACCTGAGGCAAAGTGCAGTAACTCTTAGCAACTTCTCTAAGCTGAAACATTTATCGTAAATCTCCTAAACAACATCAGGCAAACTCTGAAGATAAGTCACAATAGTATTATTACAGTCTTAATCAGTAGTAAAGTTATCCTTAGGTCTGAATTCAGGATAAGAAGGATTTAGCTGATATAAAATATTGGGGCCCTTCCACTAATTTTCAAGACCTAAAAATTAGGAAGGGAGCGATCCTCTAGAAGCTGCGTCTGCGAGATTTTGTTTGCCTAAAACCCGATGCCGGTAAGCATTAGGCACTAACTCATGAATTTGACTACAACGATAGGCTGCGAAGGTTAGCCAGCGAGATGGATGTGCGCTTAGCCAATGTAGTACGTCTTGTGAATCCGTCCAAAGATAAACTACATCAGCCCTTAGAGACAATTTTTAAATACAGTGGTGAGCTAGTTTGGACAGTAATTGGATCGCACAAAGTTCTAATCGGGGTATGCTTATCGTTTTAATAGAGGCCACTTTGGATTTGGCCATTTGGAGAACGACGAACACCTTATTATTTTGTGAAAGACGAGTGTATATTACAGCTTTGAAAGCATCAGCATACCCTTGTCACTTTATTGATTGCACCTGTGAAGTGAAGTGATTCCATCGTGGGATCTGTAATTAATCGAGGAGATAAAATTCATTAAACCATGATAACCAATTACGTAATGTACTCCTAGGTAACTCTGTGTCCCAACTTAACTTCATCAACCATAAGGTTTGCATTAGAATCCTTACGAACACAATAACAGGAGCTAGTGTAACAAAAGGATCATACAATCAAGCAATCTGAGATAGGACTGACCTTTTGGTCAAGACAGTCTTTAATCGGTTCGATTTAATTTTAAATCCAAAGCAATCCTCAATAGGGTACCAAACAAATCCTAAAATCTCAGTTGAAGGATCACCAAGGCAGAGAGATAAAGTATCAGCGAGCAATGTAGAAGAAATATTTATTAGTAACTCCGACTTATTAGCAACCCACTTATGCAAGGTAATTCACCAGTAACCATTGACCCACTTATGCAAGGTAATTCAGCAGCCTTCGTGATATTTAACAATTGACTTACTTTCAAAGGTGCATACATCACCTTAAATGCTAGAGTAAATCTTCTGATTAACTCTCGCAATACAGTGGACAAAACTCAGTTGTGCAGTGCAGTGTTCTTAGTGCTTTGTTTAAGTTGCTCACTGCATAATCTGCAGACCAGATCAAATAGTTAATCTTATCGAACTACCAGTGATTATCAACAGCAAGACTCAGTGAAACTCTTGTGTATTTCCACAGACAGTAATTGTGCGTTTCTACAGACAGTGGTTTTTAGTTAATCAATATTTCAATCAGTTATACTATATCAGTGCTTTCATTTTAACATTTATTTCTTGTAACTTTCAAACTCTCTTGCAAGCTCAAGGCCAGTGCGTGTTTACATATTGTGTTATTCAACTTGACTTTTTTCTTTCTACATTCTTCGTTTTTATATATTTTCAATAGTTCATTGCTTTAAGACTATAGACATTATTTCTTTTCTCCTGTATTATTTGACCTTTACTATTTTGTGAATATTAACTGTGAATTTTCTTGGCCTTTGAGTCGTATTAAAAGTTGTTATTTTTATGTTCTTTAATTTTATTGTGTTTTATTGTGTCTTCCCAATTACCCTATCCGAGCCTAGTGTGTGCTAACGCATACGCCTCGAACATCGTCCATATACATTTTCCTTTCCAGTATTGGTGCAGACAGGGGGCACTCGTTCTTATGATCAAGAGCTAACTGCTTAATCACTCGAGAGGCCAAGTAAAGGGACGAAGCGAAACCATATGTGACGGTCCTTAACTGATAGTTTACTAGTGGAACAGAGGGCTTCGAGCACCAGAGGATGCACTGAAACTTCTGATCTCTGTCATGAACCCAAACTTGCCTAAACATTTTTTCTAGATCAGCGGCAAAGGCATATCGATAGTTTCTTCAGAGGATGATTAAATCAGACAAGTCTGGCAATAGGTTTCGTCCAATATGTAGCACTTCGTTTAATGAACAACCATTTTGAGTATTAGCTGATCCATTGAATACCGTTCGTAATTTAAAACCGGAATTCGTCATTCTTTTAACTCCATGATATGGCAAAAACCAACATTCTGAATCGTCCTTATTCTTGAATGGGGTCATGTGGTGTAGCTCAAGGTACTCTTTCAGGAAGGACTTGTAAGCTGAATCTAAGTCAGGATCATTTAAAAGTCTACGCTCAAGAGATTTTAATGCTGAAGATGAAATAAATTTATAGTCAGCTCGAGATCTTAAGAAGGGAGGAGGATCTGTCTTAAACGGTAGCCTGACTATGTAACGACCTGACTTGTCACGTGAGTGTCATTGTGAAACTTCTCACAGAGTGCCTCGTCAGGGGGCAAGAAGTCTTTAAAGCAGCGAGGAGGCTCTTCAATTTTCCAAAATGTTTGTAACAAGGGTATCAGCTGATCGTTATTAGCGCAATGTAATGACAGAGAATGAGTTGAGAAGTCAACTTTGCCTCAGGGGCCTAAGAGAATTCAACCTAACAGAGTCGAAGTAGCAATAGGCTGATCAGCTCTTCCTTGCTTTATGGAGCCTTCTACAATGCGAGCGTGCATATCAGCTCCAAGGATAAGATCAATACAATCGGAGTTTAGGTATAGGGGATCGGCCAACTCTAACCCATGAATGAAACTCAATTCTGAATCTAGCAGTCTAAATGGAGGTTTATAAGACGAAACTCGGGCTAATACTTTAGCGTTCACTATTAATTCAAATTGGGAAAGAAATCTTGGTTGTAGTCTAAATGAAACTATACTTTTCGCAACTCCAACAATAGAATCCCTAGAACCGCTAATTGGTATATTGGATCTTTGACGTTTTAGCTTCAGAAGAGAGCAAGTAGCCTCAGAAATGATAGAGCACTGTGAACATTGATCTATAAAAGCTCTTACCATGAAAATAATGCCTGTTAGACCGATTGAGGTAACTCGAGCGGTGGCTAAGAGTACACCTGTTCTACTGGAGTTGATTGAGTTCAGATTCTTAATATGGTGCGACAATGTAGGATGGTATGTACCTGAAACTTGTTCATGTGAGTTTTTAGTAAAGCCTGGACTAGATGCATCATCTTTACGCAAAAGAGAGTGGTGTTTTCTCTTACAAATTAAGCAACTAAACTTATGTTTAAATTTTTTTTAAAAATGTTTTCCATGGCAATTGAAACATAATCTCTCATTAACAATTAGGGCTAGCTTAGATCCCGTAGAAAAGGCCTTGAACTGCTCACATTTCCCAAGGGAATGATCTCCACAGCAAACTAAACAAAGAAAGACCCCTTTAAGTTTTGCTTTAGACTCGACTGTAGACTCTGAGATGCTGAACTGATGGGAGACGGCATAAATGGGTTTGCTTTGGGGCTTGTAAGATTGGGCTTTTGAGCTTGTGTTTAAATTCTCACAAGCTTCTAAAGTTATGACTTGAGTGGTTAGAAATTTTTTTAAATTATTAATTAAAGGTGGGCTAGCATCACTTCCCAATCGCCTTTGCCAGTCTTTATTTGTATTTGAGTTGAACTTGCTAACAATCAGTGCAATAAAGAGATTGCTGGTACCCAAGTCACGATCCAAAGCTTGTAAGGACTCCAAAGGATGTAACATCTCCTTGCATATTCACTTGAGCTTGGAGCCGTTCTCAGACTTCACTGGTTTACAACTTAAGATACTACGAAGATAACTGTTTACAATGCAATGTTGACTATCGTAATAATCAATTAATGACTGCCATGCTACGGAATATTGATCATCAGTTATATTAATATGTCTTATTAACTCGAAGGCTTCACCAGTCAAACGAGTACGCAATTGATAAAACTTGACGATATTGTCGATATATTCCTTCCTGTGGACTAATAAGCGAAAAGTATCTCTGAACCCATCCCATTCTGAAAATTTTTCTGAGAAGGTTGGAAGTTCGATACAATAAAAAAAGGAACCACTATTCTGTTGGATTACTGCATTGATAGGGAGCGGGTTTATCCCCCTTGGATTTTGGGCATTTTTAGCGGCGGTCAAAACTCTTAGGTATTCCGCAAAATCACCCTTAACTTGGTAATAGATATCAAATGTTTTCTTGAATATTTCGGAAGTAAAATACGCGTGAGACTAATCGTCTCTAGCAAGTCCTACTATCACTTTGTGATTATCACGAAACTCAGCTAAATAATTATCAAGCGCAACTAGAAGAGCCTCTGCTCTTCCACGGTTCTTTTTTTCATGACCTAATTTTAAGAAATTCTCAAAACAGTTGTTTACTTTAGTGTAAAGTTTAATCTGCGACTTGTAAAATTTTTCCATTTTGAAATAATAAAGTATAATAACTGATGTAAAAACAATAAACAACTAATAGGAACTGTGGCAAACTAGGGTACAAAGCTTAATCTAACCTTAAAGTCTCTATGCTTAAGTTACAACAGTTATCACTTTAAAGGCACACTTTAACTGCATTAGATGTGACCAAACCTGTGAAAAAACATACACGATCTTATGGTGGGCAGCTAGCGTCATTGACAGCAGACGCAGCTTGGACTGCTTGAGGTGTGTGGTGCGGCTCGGGACCAACAACCACAGCAATAGCGTTTTGGAGGATGACGTGCAGCGCGGCTCTTGACCTGCAGCTGCAGCCGAAGCACTCCCTGTTAAGTATGTGCGGTGCAGCTTCGAAGCCAGCAACCATAGCATTAGCTTTCTTGTAAGTGTTGTGTGGTGTGGCACTGGACCAAAAACCACACCAATAGCAGGATCGTTGTGTTTGTGTGCACCGAGGCTCTAGGCCTGCAGCAGCAGCAATAGAGCTCTTGATGTAGATGATGTGCGCCAAGGCTCGAGGTCCATAGCAGCAGCAATAGAGCTCTCAATTAAGGTAAGAGTGCGAGTGAGTGTGAGTATGCACTCCTAGTCTCACACACACTCTCCCAAGGCAAGCCCCATGGTCGCCTTGGCGTTTGCGCACGCGTGATCGTCGAGCATCGTATAATGGCGGTGCTGAGGCACGGAATGACAATATGGCTACTCGACATGACTACACATGGATTTTCTCTTTCATGGCACTAATACTCATGCCCCTATTGGGGCTCCAAAAATATTGTAATTTAGAATGTATGCAGCAGCATGAGACTTTGCAAATTGGTGAGAAAGGGAGGTAACTTACTCTTTTTTCACTTAACACTAGCGTTATTTATTGGCAGATAACGAATTTATTTTACAAAATGTCACTAACAAATTATAGTGAAACTACAGATGACAAGTACTACATGGGTAACACTAATGAGAAAATGAACTGATATACTTTACAAACTACCACGTATTTTTGTATAACGAAAAAATAGGTAAGTGTCTCGCAGACGTGCTTATCTCGACGAGCCGCGGCAAACTGACGCGAGAGCGCTCTGTCATTGCCTGAGTAAGTTGCTGCTTACTATACATAGGTTGGTATCCGTGTCGAGCACTTTAGTTCAAATGAAAGTAACACCTTCATCCTAAAGAACTAGGAAGATGATGTCCAGATACTCTTTTATTACCAACCTGCACAATTTAGTTAGTGTATCCTCTTGAGAGCTAGCCAGTGTTGCTGTTGTCCTTTACGGTGCTGAAATTCGCGCTACACAATTTATGGGCAGTTAGTGTACTGTGCCGCAGTGTAGAGATTAGCTTGAGGGAGAGAACTGACAGGTAAGAGAAGTTTGTGCCAAGGCGTTAGCTGGACGAAGCTTTTCCGCCTGTATTTAGGCCTTGAGGCTTTTAATTAAATTAATAATTTAATACAGCTTTATTTCAAATGTTTTAAGGGATATCAATTTTCTTAACTCTCTCTGTTGTTTGTGTATGTGCTTGTGTAGCATAGTATTTTATACGATTTTTGTGTAGTATACCTTGCACACGTACACTATACTGCCTAAGTGCTTGATGCATTAGAGCCGCAAGAAGCCAACAGCCGTGTATGTATGTATACTGGTGTATACGCTCAGTATATGCTGTCTGCGCTGTAGATCAGCGTTTGCTGCCTGTGGAAATCCGATTTCACAGGCTTGGCTTGTTGGCTATTAAAAATAATATTTCGTCTCAACATTTTCATATTTAATTTGGCTGTTGCTACTGCTACAGCTCCTACTTTACTATTACTGTACATAAAGTAACAGTAAACGTCATCTACCTTACAGACGACGTCGTGTTATACCTAGCCGTGGATTATTTGTCGAGTGCTAAGGTTGCGAAGTACTACCAAGGCGATATAACGAATTGGAAGTTTCAACCTTGACCAGGCCTATATTGTCTGGACACCCTCAGCAACACTTCCTGTTAAATGGGCATAAGTGGGTCTCGCCTTTCGAGACCCTGCCAGGACAAGGAATCGCTGACGACCTAGGTTAACGTCGCTTTTCGTGGCTATCTTTTAGTAATACAAGGGGGGGGGGGGAATAAGGTACACAAAGGAATAAGCACTCACGAGTAGTAATTTAACATTGTTCGTCAGTGATCACTTGTCCCGGCAGCATCTCGAAAGGCGAGACCCGTATCTACATATTTAACAGGGAGTGTCACCAAGGGTGTCTGGGCCACACAGGCCTGGTCAAGGTCAAAGTTTCTTATTTGTTATTCCACCTCGATAATACCCCGTAACAATGTCTATATATGCTTGGCCATGAAACCGTTGGAAGAACCCTTTTCTATCAACGAATGTTAACTTCTTACGTGGTGATGACCTGAAACAGAAACATTTATATACTGTAATATTATATTTACACTAGAAATAGAAAGTCACTGGATTTACTTACCAGCTGATAATTCATGGTTATTCTCGATACCTTATGAAAAACAATTAAGCATTATCTGCCCTAACAAAATCAGTCGACAAGAAAGAATAAGAGATACACACGGAGAGACAAATTTCGGGTTTTACGCTTAGAGTTTTTTGTGCGAAGAGCCTATGACAATCTTCTTTCGATATATAGTACGACGATAGTGCGCCAAACTCAAGAGGTTCGTGCGTTCATCGCACAATATAATACTTCACCTTGTGTTTTGGCATCAAAGACTGGAAAGGAATACTTTATGTATATATATTCTGTATGCACCTATGAAAAGTTAACGTAACTGTACTAACCTATACTCATAACTCGCATGTATTATATTTGTTCGTGTACTATTATACTTGTGCGTATGGATACAAGTTATTACAATGTAGTGGGGCAAATAGTAGGGCAGATAAATTAATATACGCATAACAATCTCTTTGTGTAGCTTAGCTATAATGTGCTTTGCTGCTTGCGCTTCTGTTATGTATCAGACTCTTCCTTTCCCTTCCCATTACTTGATGCCAAAATGCAAAGTAGCCAAGGCTATTTATCCATGATGAAGTGTCTTGCGATAAACGCACGGATCACTTGGGTTTGGAGAACAATCGTCATGCTATATATCCAAAGAAGGTTGTCATGGGTTATTCACACAAAAAATTCTGAGCGTAGGACCCATTATTTGTCATTCCATGTAGGTATTTTACGAATAAATGATGAGAGTACGGGAAAAACACACAAATTGACCTTACCTAGTGAGCATAAGATCCTCACTAATATACAATATACCTATTAAGCAGAAGTGAGCTTGAACTTAACTGTATTGAGATAGAGGCACTAGTTACTGGCCTTGACAAGTGCCTGGCCACCAACACTTTTTCTCGAATTATAAAAACAAACTTTAATGCTAAATAATGACAGGATAACATTACTGTAAAAACTTATCAATAATTTAGTTTCAAATGCAATAAAGGTAGTTTTTTTAGTTCAAAACATTAAAAAAAAATTTTGACAAAATGGTGGCTAAGTACTAGAGCACTTGCTCATGAAGTATGGGTTTAGCATGGGGTGGTCAGTTACTGGCTCCTAAATTCGAGCCACTAAGGCAATCTTTTTTTTCAGTGGCCATGTACTAAAGCATCTAACATACTCAGATAATTATAAATAATTATTGTCTATGGTCAAATATAGGACTTCTATTTATCGTACGGTTTGAAATTAATTCATAACTGTCAAATGATACTCAACAAAAGTTAAAGTTTTAAAAGGTGTTTAAAATATATGGTGTTCTTTTGATAACAGCTACTAAGTTTCCAGTAACTAGTACTTTTACCTGACATGTACCCTTAAACAACACTAATGTCTTTCATGACGCCATAAAACAGGTTCGAAAACTAAATTTTAATGAACAGGCATGAACAGATGAAGAATTAAATGTACAAAATTTAATAATTTAAATAGAGAAAATACGAGCCCAAAAGTTGAAGGGGCAACAAACTTCTCTTTTTATTATAATACTTAATGTCATAAAAGCTATTATTAAAATATTTATAGTAGCAATATTTATTAGCAAAGCAAGAAGCTGTTTAAAGAAGACTATGAAACGTAGTGTCTCGAAAGAATTTATAAAACGCACCATCAATCCACTGAAGGCAAAACTCCTAGTCACTACAAAACAAGAACCAAAATAACTGATAAAATACTAAAGATTTTTTTACGAAAAACGTCAAAAAGTGACATTGATATACCAAACATTGATCCGAAAAGACTTATATGTCTTCTACCGTGGGTTATAGAAGAAATGAAACG